CACGGTCTAGGATGGGACGATAAGGTTCCAGATGCAAGTAAAATAAAATGGGAGGATTGGCTCAAGGACCTTCCTAAGCTTGAGCAGTTCACTATTCCAAGATGTCTCAAGCCCTCTAACTTTGGAAAGTAGTCAAACGAGAACTACACCACTTTTTAGATGCATCAAGCCATGGATACGGTGCTGTTTCCTATCTACGCCAGTTGAATGTACATGGAGATGTATGCTGTGCTATTGTAATGGCAAAATTTAGATTAGCTCCTCTAAAGTCAATTACTATACCCAGGATGGAATTATCAGCAGCTGTCGTATCCACACGATTGGATAGAATGATAAAACAATAACTAATGATGCCTATCGACAGCTCCACGTATTGGACTGATAGCACATGCGTTCTACGCTATCTAGAAAATAAGGAAACAAGATTTCAAACCTTTGTAGCAAATCAAATTTCAACCATACTCGACCAAAGTGAAGCAAGTCAATGGAGATTCGTTGACGGATCACTGAACCCGGCAGACGAGGCATCAAGAGGTATGACAGGTAGTGAACTTTTAAGTAATCGTCGATGGAAACAGGGGCCGGACTTTCTAATGAAATCCGAAAATGAATGGCCTCAGAGACCGATAGACCTGGGTCAAATACCAAACAATGACCCAGAAGTGAAGTCAAATTCCACCGTCTGTGCTAACAATGTCATTGGCCAAGACTCAATTTCAAAGGTTATAGATCATTACTCAAGTTGGAACTCATTGAGAAAAACCATTGCATGGCTTTTACGTTACAAGTCAAAGCTTAGAGAAGCTGTTCGAAGGAGCAAGAGCGGAATGCCTCTGCTGTCTGAGAAGACGGTCACTCCAATAACTGTACTGGAGATCAATGGTGCGGAATCCGCTATTGTAAAACACATACAGCAGCAATGCTTTGGAAACGATCAAGTCGAATTGAGAAAAAAGACTAGCAGTATATACAAACTGGATCCTATTTTAGTGGAAGAAATTGTACGTGTAGGAGGGCGTCTTCATAACGCACCAATTGACATTGACACGAAACATCAAATCATTTTGCCAAAAAATCACCATGTGGCGAAATTGATTATCCAGTATTACCATCATCAATCTGGACACTCTGGTCTTGAACATACGCTATCGCTACTTAGACAGAAGTTTTGGCCTGTGCAAGGACGAACTACAGTGCGAACAGTCTTGAATGAATGTTTCAGTTGTAGGAGACGGCAGTCACCTGTAGCAAAACAGAAAATGGCACAGTTTCCAGAAGACAGGGTAACACCATTAAAGCCAACATTTTCATTTGTTGGCGTTGATTGCTTTGGACCGTTTGAGGTTCGAAGAGGCAGATCGACCGTTAAAAGATATGGTGTCCTCTTTACGTGTCTGACTATACGAGCAGTGCACATCGAAGTTTCTAACTCCTTGGATACAGAATCTTTCTTAAACGCCTTAAGGAGATTCATTGCTAGAAGAGGGCAACCGGAAGAGATGAGATCAGACAACGGAGGAAACTTTGTAAAGGGAGAGAAAGAGCTGAAAAAGGCTATAAATGATTGGAATCAATCCCAATTCACGAATTTCTTTTGCAAAGAAATATCAAATGGACATTCAACCCACCTATGGGATCACACCATGGTGGAGTGTGGGAACGGTGCATAAGAACCGTTCGGAAAGTAATGTTAGCTGTGTTAAAACAGCAAACACTTGATGATGAGGGTCTGAACACCCTAATGTGCAAGGTAGAGGCTATTGTTAATGGAAGGCCGATCACAAAAGTTTCTGACGATCCACCATTGATATAACACCATTAACACCTAACCATTTGTTGCTTCTACGAGGAGGAAATAACTTGCCACCTGGTAAGTTTACTAAAAGAAGATGTATATAGTCGCCGACGATAGAGGCAGGTTCAGTACATGTCGGATATATTTTGGAGACGTTGGACTCGAGAATACTTGCCATCACTACAACAGAGACAAAAGTGGAACAAGATTACAGACAGTGAACTTAGCTATCTTCCAACTATGCATTCAAGGTTTGCCATTCTCACTTAGCAACAGACTTTCTTATCTTGTTTTGGAATAGTCACCAAAACAGTGTATCAGTTCAGTTCATGGATTCAATGCAACAGGTTCTGGAGAAGAAACTGATTTTAAACCGTAGACGTAGTCGTAGTCGTAGTCGTAGACGTAGACGTAGGCGTAGCGCATCAATGTGTAACACGTGATATCGTGACATTGTGACATCATATGACACAGTGGATGTACACCGTGCAAGAATAAAGCATGTACCATTTATGTTAACTCTACGTTGTCTACGCGTTTGATTCATTTCTACCTCTACCAGAACCGAAAATAGTAACGCACAGGGTGCAAGGTTACACACTTGAGTTGTAAATTCACAGAATTGGAATTCAATAAAATAAATTAATAAAGCCTTGTAAGTCTACTTTAAAATCACTTTAGCACTTGAAGATAAAAATGTATATTTAATTCTCTGAACTATAGTTTAAGAAACGTTTAAAAATAATATATTCACATAATGCTATATGCAATTAAATTTTCAACACACTGCTGAGTTACCAACATTGCCTCCGCAATCATCTAACGTCAAATGCAATGCATACAGTCAGTCTCGTATACATTTATATAGGGTGATGTATGCTAATTAGGCTTCCAATCTGGCTTAAGCAATGGCCTTCATTTTGATTGGTTGGACCGCCTACGAACCATACAGATTGTTATGGCCAGCTATTGGCTACTGATTGTAAAACAACACCCTTGAATTGATATTTTCTATGCTAGTAATAGTAAGTACTGTAAAATATCGTCAGGGAGAAAAATTTATATATACAGTAACGGTATTAGAAGTCTAAATTAAATTTAAAAACCCTCACAAAAACAAAAAAACAAAAACAAAAAAACAAAAACTGTCACATCTTTTGGACCATTTTCGGGTGAATTGAGCGAATTTTAGTCTCTTTGGAGGCCACACGATCCCCCATTCAATTCAAATACGTGTGATTGCAATGTAAATTAATACCTTCAATATTCGAATAATAATAATAATAATTATTATTATTATTATTATTATTATTATTATTATTATCATTATAATTATCATTATCATTATTATTATTATTATTATTCACGTTTTTTTTAGGGGGAGTCTATTCAAGGGAACCAGTTATTCAAAGCGGGAGGAAAGTTATTCCAATAATTAGGCTTACGGATTCGAGTTGGGAATTGTGAACTAACTGAGAAAGCATCAATTTATTTATTGCTATCTTTCATTTATAGATTATAGTAAAAAGAGAAAAGATTCTCTGTCAACATGGTAATTTCAAATACATCAAGTACCAAACCTAAAATTTACAGCATTCGATTCGAATATAAAAGCCCCCCCCCCCCACCTCTTTATTCTGTAAAAGTATCATGGTAAAGAAGGCCGGGGCTTCAATTCATGGTTTTATGGTATTACAAATACATTTAAATTCTAAGAAAATTTTAACTGACACCCTATACATACATCATATGTGAATAGTGAATATCATCTCTGTGTGATTTATGCACATATTTACATAAGAGAAGTAGTCATATCTTACTTCATAAACATGAATAATTGGTATTTAAAAAAAAATATGTACCTTAAAACCTCGAATAGAATCACAATTGCCTTCATCCCGAGAAAGAAGCTCATCTCGAGTTGAAGCTCCTGGATTATACAGGTTGATGTTAAAGTTGCTCTATTTGTTGTTATTCATGAGTAATTCCTAAAATTTACTATGTTCGCTTTGAATTAAAAAGAAGCCTCCCCTCCCACCCCAACTTTTTTGATTTTGTAAAAGTATCCTGGAAAAGACGGCCAGGGCTTCAATTCAAGGTTTTATGGTAAAACAAATACATTTAGCTTCTTTCATGGTTTAAATTTACATATTATGTGCAGTACATTAAACGAAACTAAATTCCGAAAAAAAATTAACTGACACTCTATACATACACAGACACACACACCCATTCACACTGGGTATTGACCCAGTTACTACGTTGTGATGGGCTATAGATGAGAAGAATGTGGAACTGAAATGCCGCAACATTCTCTACTTATTAGTTTCAAACACCCTGCCATTTTGTTTTTTCTTCCTCTTAATTCACCAATTTAAATCCTTAAACTTTCTGTTTCACCCCAAGGATAAGTCTATGACGGAACCGGAGCTGAAATTTTATATGAAACGATGGCACACTGAGACCCATAGAGTCTGTGGTTATGGCTTGATGGCTAATATGTTGATATAATTCACTTATATCAACAGTTCTTCCCTTTAAAATCCTATAGATTTCCTCTTTTATCCATGCAACACTACCACACTTTTTAAATGTATGGTTAGATTACACTGTAAGATAAATTTAGTTTTATTCCATAAGCTTCCTTCCTTAATTACAACATCCAAGATAATTAATTATAGCGGATACAGATAATTTAAAATGAAATATAATACAAGTGAGTTTTTAATGTAATAATTACAATACTGGAAATGAAAACGTCACAAAGGACTCTTGAACAGTATCATCCAGATATAGAATATACGTGCGTTTATGGCGTTTACCATAATTAGATTTTTTAAGATAAAAGTTTATAAACCAACATTTATACATAAGATATATTAATTACCGGTATCTCGTGTTAATATTTTTTTTATAGCTTCCAATAAGACCAAATAGAAGAAATTACTTGTCTAGCGTCGCATCACAACACAATTTTAGATGGGGAGGGTGGCTTTTTTTCCCCTTTGTTTTTTTTTTTAATTATACAATATCACTAATTGAATTAAATGTGTTAAAATTAATCATTTTCAATAGGTTGGTGAAACCATCGTTATAATTCACTTAAAATAGGTCTATACTTAATTTGATTAGAATTTCCTGGACAATTTCTATTTTTATTTAAAAAAAAAAAAGAAATCCCGCCTCCAAGCTTTTTATTTTGCTAGAAAATTCAGGTGGGAGTGGTTTTGGCCTATTATCAATAGGCCTACAAACATTATTGAAAAATCATACGACGCTGTCCGAGTTGCCCAACATCAACGATTATAAGGATCGATCACAATAATTAAATTATTGAGGATAGTAATATTAGGTCGATCAATTAAAGATACCATTACACTACATAATAATAATAATAAAACAAAGGACCCTATAATGAATGATGTTGATTCCAAGAAAAAAAATAATAAGTTAATAATAATAAATTTCTTTATTTTAAATCAACCGATTATTGTTGTTTGTTTTTATAAGCGAGAATTGTAACATAAACCAAACTTCAGTAGTACATTAAAATAATCAACAAAAGAATAGAATTATAATACAGTAAAACTTTTAAAATGCCCTTAATCTTACAGGCATATTTTTTTTTAAAAGTTTTAGCAGTGGTACGACAAGCTGTTTGATTGTCTTAAAAGAATGTTACTTTTTTTCTTTTTTTTTTTTGTCGTACGTACCCTTCTTCAATAAATAATTAAATAGATAATAGTCCAAAAAAGTGAAAAGAAATAGTCGTGACAACGGTCGTACAGGCTATTCAGCTAACTCCCCCCCCACTAAAATACTGGATGCCATAAGACCTGCCAAATGGCAGAGCACCGTATGATGGCATCGGTTGACAATCTAGAGAGCTGGTCCAAAACACGAGGCAACCTGATGGCTACGGAGTTAACAACAACAAAGATGGCGCCGCCCTCGCTCGACTTCAACTATAATAGTTCTCTAAAGAAAGCAAATTTTTAGTGACAGTTCAAATTCTTTATCGTTTGATGTTAACGACTAATATAGTTAATAGTATATAATAGTAGTTAGGCGAATAATGGACAATTATTAATTATGAGGAAATATGTTTTTGAAAGACAGACGGCAGTTTAATATTCTTCCGTGTTACCGGATCTCTAAAATTTCGTCTGCTATTAAAATTAGCTCTTTTTATTGGTTAGTTTGATAGTTGTTGCTTGCCAGTCGTCTTCAGCTGAACCACAACTAGGACTTGATTTAGTCGTAGTTAGAACTTCTACTACGTTTGTTTGTGAATACAATTTGAAGTTGAAGTTGCTACTAAGACTAAATGAAGTTCTAGTTCGAAGTTCAACCATGGAGGTATTATTGAGAAGGAGATCACTCGGCAACAGATCCCTTTGACGCGATAAACCCATGTGTTCCCCGCTTTTGGATCGCGCGCGGGCGTATTACCCTATAATTCACATTTTTTTCATTAGCAACAACTTGGCAACGACATGCATTTATACGCTTCCAGCAGAGCAGTTGTGCAATAAAGCGTTTGATTTTAACCCATATTAAATATCTTTATAATGAACAATGTTCCCCTGATTAGATTTTTTCGAACTTTTAGTATGTTATTATTTGTATATTTCAAGAACGGATTCCGTAAAACATTTATGTTAAAATTACATGTTCATTATAATTCTGTCTAAAGATTGATGGGTTTGACTATAAAGCTAAGTCAGCGTAAAACTGAAAAATACTCAGATTTTGGATTGATTTTTCGAATAGTTAACCCTTGTTAACCCTAAAATGACTTAGTTTATTATAATCTTCAATCATTTATTAATTAATATCTGTTAAAATTAGAATTAGCGAATTTTGGCCAATTTATGAAAATTGAAGTTGAAATATACTATACTTTTAAAGGTCAAGTAAATGTTCCATTAAATTCGAAACTTTTTTTGGTGGAAAATATTAATATGTTTAGTATGTTTGATAATTTATGAGAGATAAATGTATCGGCTTCAAAATGGAAACATATGCGCAGCAGGCCCATAGCCAGCATGCTTCAAGGGGGGGTTCTGGGCATGGGGTCCAGGGGCCCGCCAAAGGGCCCCGGGTGGGGTCAAGGGGGGCCTAAGCCCCCGAAGCCAGAGAATTATTACGATTTTAAAAGCATGTACATGTCATTTAAATGCATGTTCATGTATATTTAAATACTTCTTACACAATTTTAAAAATAAGATAAGAAGACTACTTTTTCCAA